CGCCGCGACTTTGTCGTTTGTCGTTACGGTCGGTCGCTGTCGCTGCAGTGTGTCTTGGCCTTAACCCGGGGGACATAGACCCTCTCAGCATCAGTATCACTATCACCATCAATGTCAATATCATATGGCGCAATAATTTAATTAGTCTGTGGACAACAAACAAATAACTACGTCGTAGTAAGACGCTTGGCGAAATCTAGCACATTAAGGTCGCGAATATAAAAACATACTATTTCATCAGGGCCTAGGATGCCAAACTGCACCCGCTTTACATTCCGAAGAGGAGCAGTAGAATCGGAACACAAGGCCGTCGCCATCTTTCTCGTCGCCGATGTCAACCGTTTTCTTCCTTTTCGTTTTGCTTTCACACGATAGCCTAATAACAAGTAAAAAATCACATACAAATGTATGTAATCAGCTCTAGGATCATTTACAAGCAAGACTACTACAACAGCTATCGCATATAGTTTTAATAACTGTAATAAACCACCGAAAACACCTAACCTACATTCAAAGAATGTTGAAAGTGGGCATCAGCACCACTCTGGTCCACTCAATGTAAACCTGCGGAAAAACTGCCAGCTATTTATATGGATATTTCACATCCGGGAACTTTGAAGTCGAAAGCACGTGTCTGCCGACCAAAGCTGCCGACCAATCGCAGCGCCCGCAGCTTGGATAGAACGTAAGATTCTCATGTCTCCTGATATAATCAAGTCTCCTGATATAATCATAGATAATAGGGATCTATAAAGACTACGTTTATTTACTACTATGCTAAGTTTATTTATAGAGCTCTATGGGTCCTATAGTCTATGGTACTAGTGGCAGTGCACGTCGCCATTATTTATTGTTTACGTTTACGTAGCCTCGATTTCGATCGTCGACCCAGGTCACGCATGATACGGCCACAGATACGGCCTTGCTGCTATGGTAAGCGTGAAATTGAACACAATGATTATTTGTCTATTAATTTAGTATTATCTATGCTTCTTGGTAGCCTTGGTATGCTTCTTGGTATCACAGCCACAGGCACTTTAAGCGTTTCAATATTATTATGTTTGGTACCGTCAGCTGGGGCTACTTTGAACACTTTTCAGATATTTAAAAAAAAATCATTGCACATGGTATAATGAAATCTTTGAATGGTGAGCTATATTGCCTTGGGGCTATACTTGAATCAAAAGAATGGTCGTATAAATGATCAGATTGGTTAAAGTGATGTGATTAGGGGCTATTTTGAACGTTGTGTGTACTTCTGTGTGGTCTGTAAGTGTACCGTAGTGGCCGTACTTTACTGCTAATTTTTTACAATTTCAAGTCAGCGATTTGCAATTTACTGCGGGACTCCTATTTCATGTATTAAATATTCAAATACATTGTAAAATATTTTATTCATCAACAGAAAAATATGCAAAAGTAATTTTGTCAATATTAAGATTGCCCATATAGCCATAATTCTGATGTCATCTTTTTTGGCCCGGGGTGTTCAATGTTGCCCCGCTGTTCAAAGTAGCCCCAGCTGACGGTATGTTATTAGTTCCAACGTAACAAAGTTAGGTAGTTGTCTAATAATATTAATAAATAAACAGTCCATTTCGGATCAAGGATGGTTCAATTGCCTGTTATTCAGTGTTTGGTATAGTCCTGTAATGTAGGGCTCGTCTCACCAAATTTATGCTAGTTGCCAGCTAACGCAGTAATACAGCAATATCTTCTGGGATTTTTGGTCTTTTAGCCATTTTGCTTTGAGGGCATTATGCAAACTAATCTTATATTATGGGCAGTGTTCTCTATTTAGAAGAACAGCACGAAGTCGAATGACCGTATACTGTTGGTGTTGTTCGGCCCAGTTAGCAATTGGTCAGTATGTATAAAAAGAAAAGAAAAAAAAGGTTTAAAAAAAGCGTTTTATGAGCTACTACTGAATAATCATGTTGATATCTTGTAATGCATGTTATGTGGACAGAATCATTGTTTTTGTTTTTGAGTAACGCTAATGTCGTACTTTCTAACGTCTTATAATTATAAATCGTCATAATTTGGAAACTTTTGGTGAAATCTGATGTATCGAGGAGAAACAAATTGGAAAAAAACGATATGTGAATGCCAAATGTGTCATGTTCACGATGCAGCTTCAGATAAACCAGATTGCACTCAGAGCAATTGGGTTAAAAAAAAAAATTTGGGTAAAATTGGGAACCCCCCCCCCACGGCCTGTTTGCAAAAGCATTTGGGCCTGCTACTATAAAAGATAATGAAAACCCTGATGGGGCTAAACATACCTTCACATATGTTCTTTCCCTGCACAGGTCATACACATGTGCAAGTCGTTTCTAGAAAACCTTTGGATTTCGCATGAGATCTTTTATTTTAGGATGATTCTGAAATAGGGTTTGTAACTTTGGTGACTACAAATTTCATATGACAATTAACATAATTACTGCTGTGAAACAAATGCAGTTTCACAGAATAAACAATATATATAAATACATATCTATATATATTTCCAATACACAATGTCACCATCACTTACAGGGTCTACAAGAAGCTTGGCACAGTAGAAGCATACACATCTAAGGATTTTAACAGTCTTTGTCAGAAATCCACAGTGAAACACTGGCTTTGCTAGCTCAATATGGGCGAAGTGACCAGGACAGTCTGCCATGTTGCATGCACAGGTCTGGCATCTGGGAAACCCGGGTCAACGGCTCCCTGGCGGGATCATGACCAAGCTTAGGGCGCCCACCTTCCATTGTCTCTGGATATTTGATCTCACATACTGACATTCGTCTCTGTTAATAAAAAAAAATTATTATTAAAAATTGAACTACTGTATAAGCTGTATATTTCGCAGTGGTTTAATTTTCGCAAATTTCGTGAACACGTCCGACGCGCCCAAAAATACAACAGCGAATAATGCATACGGGAATAATTCCATATTCACAGACGGCGGAAATTACGAATCGGAATTGTCGTCATGTCTGAATTGCGAAAATATTGTAGTCGCACGAAAATACGGCTACCGTATATAGATTGCATTAAGGAATATAGTCCCATTGATTATGCAATGTTGACGAATAACCACCAATCAATACCACCAATCAATCTATAGCCAACTATCAGTATCGCTGCATAGGGTCTATGTGCCCAGGGTAGTTTTTTTTTTTTTTTATTTCTGCGTAGAAAAAAAGAACGTACGCTGGTCACTATTGATATGGTTAGGTTAGGGTTAGGCTAGGGAGTAGGACTCCCTAGATACACATTAATGTAGACCAACGCAAGAGGTAGGGTTACAAAGTGTCCGTATCTTTCTGCGAGGAGATGCCCGAGTGAATCACTCGTGCCGGTTTGCTGGTGCGTTTTTCAGATACTAGAACTTCCAAACTGTTTATATTCTAAGGGGAAGGTTTCTCCGCTATTCGAGAACTACAGTGTAATGCTGGCAATTACTCTTGTATTAACTAATTAACCTGTTAGCAAAAATTCGAAGTGACGACGGCGAATATCGAGCGCATTTATGTTGACCTGTGACGTATGCATTTCCCCCCAGATGCGGGCATAGCGATCGCAAACGCAGGCCTCCGATTGGTCGGTGAAGTCCACTCTTCAAACCGAGTACGTGCACAGGTCATACGCAGAAATGGGCTCAGTTAATATTCGCGCTCGACACTGAATTTTGGACAGGTTATATATTATAATAGCAGAGTATTGCGATACATAGTAAGTTCCAGATAGCGGAGAAAGGTTGGGTGTTGAATAAACCAGTTTGAAGTTCTAGTATCTGAATAACGCCCAGCAAACCCGGCGAGTGATGTCACTCGGCATTCTCGCGCAGAAAAGGATAGGGACATTTGAACCCTATGCCTCTTGGGTTTGGGTTACTTATTGTATCTAGCGACTCCTAGCTTCGTTAGTGAAGTAGGCGAGGTAGGTCCGCATATTAGATGTAATGGTAGCGTTTTCGGTATACCGGAGCGTACCCAGGTAAGTTCCGGCATAACCCGGGGGGGGCCATGACCTCTCAGCAATCGAGTAGTGACTATCAGCATCATGTAATATCATATGGAGCAATAATTTAATTAGTTGTGACAACAACAATAACTACGTCGTAGTAAGAGCTGGTGAATGCTAGCACATTAAGGTCGGAATATAAAAACATACTATGTTTCATTCAGCTAGGAGTGCAAACATGCACCGTTCCATTCGCGCAAAGGACAGTAGAATCGGCCAGAAGGCGGTCGGATCTTCTCGTCGCGAGTCAAACGTTTTCTTGCTTTTCGTTTTTGCTTTCACCGATTAGCCTAATAAATAAGTAAAAATCACATAAAATGTTATGTAATGCCGTCTAGGATCATTTACAGAGCAAGATACTACAACAGCTATGCATATAGTTTAATAATTAAATAAACACGAAAATCACTCACCTACGATTCAAGAATGTGAAAATGTGGCATCAGCACACTCTGGTCACTCAATGTAAACTGCGGAATAAACTGCCAGCTATTTATAATGGATATTTCAGATGCCGGGAACTTTGAAGTGAAAGGCACGTGTCTGCCGACCAAAGCTGCGAGACCATCGCAGCGCGCCGGCAGGTGGATAAGTTTTCCTATGATCGAATAAAAATAATGAAATATAATAGAACGTAAGATTCTCATGTATAGATATAATCATAGATAATAGGGATCTATAAAGATACGTTTATTACTACTAAGTGCTAAGTTTATTTATAGAGCTCTAGGGTCTATACAGGCTATAGTCTATTGGTCTAGTGGAGTGACGTCGCCCATTATTTATTGTTTTACGTTCACCGTAGCTGCGATTTCGTAATCGTCGACCCAGTCAGCGCATTGATACGGCCACAAGAATACGGCTTGCTGTATGGTAAGCTGAACTTGAACACAATGATTATTTGTCTTTAATTTAGTATTATCTATGCTCTGGTAGCCTTGGTATGCTTTTGTATCGACAGGGGCCACAGGACTTGAAGCGTTTCATATTATTATGTTTGGCTACGTCGTCAGCTGGGCTACTTTGACACTTTTCAGATATTTAAACAAATCATTGCAGGCATTGTCATATCTTGTATCTTGTATGTTTGTCCTCTCTTTGTATTACAAGGCCCTCGAATCAAGGCGGGTTCATACTGAAAAGCAAAGGTAAACGGCGCGCCACTCCCGGCGCTTCTAATTTTTCTACATGTTAGTGTCCGGATCGACAGAATTTTCCGTACATAATCTAATTCGGTTTTAATAGTCGTGCATGGTTTGATCCTATACGGATCATAACCTTCATAAGTTGATAATCTCAAAGTCCGGGGTTGGGCTGGAGATATAAAGAAGATGGAGAGGTGATCAAGTCAGTAGATGCTGCATGCGGATCGCAGCGGAATAACCGTTGTGACCTTGCTATTTACCTAAGGATGAAGGGGCAGTGATTCCAATACGGAAATCAAGAGACAAGAAGCTAAACTTAAAGGGTATCTTAGAATTTTGTACATGCCGAAAACAGTGATCACTCAGATGAGCGGGGTGCAGCGACAGGCTTCATTAGCAAGAAGGAATTGCCTTTTATCATGATTTTTCGCCGAGTTTTTCCAGTCCCTTTGCCAGTTACTGTATTTTTGTGCACCTATATTTTTCATAAGCTATACAATTTATATAAAATGTTTCATATCTTCTTCATATTCGTTTTATTACATCTATAACTTATCTCGTTAAATTATTTTTAAAGTATGCCTTTTAGGTCAATCATGGCAAGTTTTGCATATAAATGGCAAAACGAATTCGTTAAATGATAGTAGCATTTCATATATTACTTCAGTCCGGGTGTGGTGTTAATGTTTATCATGTTCTTTTTGTTTTTGGCCTCTAGTTTTCAATTTGTCTCTTTAATTTGTTTAGTATTGGATCTTGACTTGGTTTTTTTTCCAGTTTTAATGAATTTTGATGGTGAGCTATATTGCTTGGGGCTATATTGAACGAAAGAATGGTCGTATAAATTGATGGAGAATGGTTAATAAGTGATGTGATTAGGGGGCTATTTTAATATTGATAGGGGCTATTTTTTCCGGTATTTGAACGTGTGTAAGTGTGTTTAATTTGTGTGTTGTAAGTGTACCGTAAGTGGCCTGTAGCTTTACTGGCTAATTTTTTAGGCAATTTCAAGTAAGGCGATTGTTGCAATTTACGTGCGGGACTTCTATTTCATGTGTAAAATAGATTGTAGCATTGTAAATGCTTGTAAAAGTACATTGTAAAATAGATTTTATTCATCAAGGAGAAATATGCAAAAGTATTTTCATATTAAAAGCGCAATGGCATCCAAGTAATCATCTTCAGTACTAGATAGGCAAAATCTTCGTGTCATGACATAATCATACTACGTATGGCAGTTTATGGCAAAATAAACTCTAGTTCTCCATTTCACTGCGCGTATGTCTATAAAAGGCGTCTTTTGAAATACTCGAGATTGTTGACAGTTCCCATTCCAAGCAACGTGCAGCGTGCGCGGTCGCAGCGTTACGGCGCAGCAAGATAAAAACATGTGAGTCACGTCACAGTTCGATGTTATGTTGTTTGAAACAATTTAGAGATTGGCGGCGTTGGCGCTGATTATGATTTCGAGACTCTTTCTTGTGGGAACGCGCAGTTCAAATGGGAGGACAGAGTTTTAATTTGGCCATAAGGTAGTATGATATGCATGACACGAAGTATTTGCTAGTCTAGTACTGAAGAAATTAGCGTTTAGATGCGCAATTGTGCGCTTTAGAATTGCCCATATAGACATGAATTTGATGTCATCTTTTTGGCCCGGGGTGTTCATGTTGCCTCGTCTGTTACAAGTAGCCCCTAGCTGACGCGTATTGTTATTAGTTCCAACGTAACAAAGTTAGGTAGTTGGTCTAATAATCATTAATAAATAACAGTCATTTGCGATGGACAAGGCATGGATTCAATTGCCTGTTATTTCAGTGTTTTGGTAGTACACGCCTCATAGGTGTATGTAGCCCAGGGTACTGGCGAACGTACGCCTGGCTACGTGCCGGTATACGGACGTACTCTGTGCAACTTATTTGAATATGGAGTTCTGTTAGGGAGTAAGGCCAGGGTACGTTCCGGCAGCTACCGCTGGGTGACATAGACCCTCTCAGCAGTAGTACCCCGCATTGGGCCGCAATGTGTTTTCCCATGGCACACACTAAACCATTATAATAATGATAAATTAATATACGAACATGTGTTTGTAATCATGGCCATGGGTGCTAAACTACTGAGTCTGCATGTGTTTGTATAGACCGAATAATTCTGTCCCATAAACCTTTCTTTATATTTTGCTGAGAGTTATTGAATATTGGACGCAAAGGGGGTTATTAAATTTTGTGAGATGCATGCAAAATGCATGCGCTGGCTAATGCGGCGCCTACCAGATGGCGTGAAAAAAACTCTACGTTCGCTGCTACATGGCTTTCCTTGCATCTGATATGTGTAGTACACATTACATTCACTTCAATCGTTATTTAATTGTTATTTAGATTGTTTTTCAGAACCCCGCTTTCATAACTTTAGTTAATTACGTTGGCCATTTACAAATAATAATGCCAATCAGAGGAGTCTTACATAGGAGTTTCTCGGCTTGTTATATGTGAGCCTGCAGGGGCTGATAGACTCGCTCTGATTGGGTCTGCATTGTTTGTAAATTGGCAGACGTACAAATTTGACTAAAGTTAAGTGAGCCGCGAGTTCTGAAAAACATTTTTAGAAGTAAATAACCGATTGAAGTGAAG